ACTGGGATGTTGTCCTCCATTACTCTAGCCCCATCACCTAGCATGTGCCTGACATGGAGGCATGGCTTAGTAAAAGAGTTTGGAGTGAGTAAAGAATAAGCTTGTAACCAAAGAAGTCTTTGAGCCCTACAGAAGAGTTTCCTCTGAGGGAAGAGAAAGGCGTCACCCACTGCTGGCACTGAGACGTTCCCCAAGACACATGTTCTCTGTCCCCTTGGGCTACTGGCCCTATCTCCATAGCAGAGAGGGCACCATTTACTTTTCTTCTTTTTTTTTTGAGACAGTCTCTGTTGCCCAGGTTGGAGTGCAGTGGCGCGATCTCGGCTTACTGCAACCTCCACCTCCCAGTTTCAAGCGATTCTCCTGCCTCAGCCTCCTGAGTAGCTGGGACTGCAGCTGTGTGCCACCGTGCCTGGCTAATTTTTGTATTTTTAGTATAGACGGGGTTTCACCATGTTGCCCAGTCTCGTCTTGAACTCCAGAGCTCAAGTGACCTTCCCGCCTCGGACTCCCAAAGTGCTGGGATTACAGGCATGAGCCACTGTTCTCGGCCACCATTTGCTTTTCTTGGTGGTTTGGCTTGTCTTGGATTGCGGGTATAGGAGACACACTGGGTGGGAGGTGGGGGTGTGCTCTATACATGCTGATTTAATCGTTTCTGATCTGAGGACATTTGAAGGATGCCAACAAGGCCCGCTGCTGAAAACTATGCTCCCTACCCAGGTGCCAGGGCTGGAAATTTCAGCACTAGACATCCTCTTCTCTCTCCACAGTCCTTCTATAGTGTAATATCAGGGGCCACAGTGAGGGTCTGGGGCCCTGCCAGCTTTCCCCTTGTGTCTACAGGGTGGACCGTCCCCAGTTCTGGAAATACGAGTTCGGTGCCTGCACTGGCAGCCTGGCTTCGCTGGAGCAGTACTCAGAGCAGCTGAAGGACATGGTGGCCTTCCTCTTGGGCTGCAGCTTCTCCCTGGAGGAGGCCTTGGAGAAAGCAGGGCTCCCCAGAAGAGACCCAGCAGGTCACAGCCCGGCGGCTGCATACAAGGTAGGGACACAGCCCACAACCCACAAGGGCAGAATGGCCTGAAAATGCAGATCAACTTACATCTTCCTGGGGCAGAGAGAACACGGGCACGGGAGGTGGAAAACCTAAGCTCCAGCCCCAGCTCAGCCACATTCTAGCTGTGCAGCCCAGGAGAAATGATCGATCTCTTTGAGTCAGCTTTGGTCCCACGCACCTCTGGGACCGCCGTGAGCACCCAGTGTGGTCCTTCTTCGTGGTTCAGTGCCGTAAACCAAACCCGCTTGGGATTTCTCTGGCTCCTTTAACTTCAGGCACCTCAGCAAGATTTTTATGAATCCTCACTGGCTCGGGTGAGCCTCAGCCACGGGGAATGAGCCTGGCTCTGTCAATACCCAGGGATTTGTGGCAGAGCCTCGGCCAGGCAGTTCCTCCTGGGTTAGGTCTCTGTCCAGAAAGCCGGGTCATGTTCCTGGCCGGAGGTTGCCTCTGGCAGTCACAAACAGCACAGCCGGCCTCTCTGGGACGTGCCTGCTGTGCCTCTTCCAGCCCTTACTTGTCAAGGTGAGTGCACTCGATTCCTTGGTTCCACAGACCCTTCCTGGACATCTGTTGGTGAAGTCTGCGAGTTCGCTGTGCTCCAGCGGTGGTCAGCCAGCATAAACAGCCAGGCTCCAGGTTTCTTCATTTATGGAGGACTTGGATCAGAGATTTTGTCTTGGACTCTGGGACATTTATTAAAATGTCTTGGTTTGGGCTCCTGCCAGAGAGGCCCCAGCTGCCTCTGATCAGAAACAAAGCTACCCATAGTCTGTGCTGCCCTCATGGGTGAAGTGTGTGCCCGAGCGGTTCTCTTGAAGCTAGGGAAGGGTGGGGATGGGACCCCAGCGGCTGGCGGGCACCCACGGCAGGCTCTGGCTCTGGAACACACCACTCTTTGTAGGAGGTGGGAGCTGAGAGGGCCCCATGGCTCCACACGCAGATTCTCATTTTAGATGAGGAAACCGAGGTCTAAAGAGAGAAAAGGACTTGCCCAAGTCCCAAAGCTCGATGGGAACCCGGAACTCCTGGCTCCCATCTGTACAATGTCAGTAGCAGAGATGTGACAACTAAATGATGCTTTGCAGTCACAGGGTCTGCTGATATGGAAGCTGTTTGTTGCCTACAAAGGTGCAAATAAGTGCCCATAGTAAGTGCTCAACACGGCCTCACTGACCCCGATGCTTATCAAATAACTTTCAGTCTAATATCGACCCCTCTGCCCGTGGGCTCCAGGGAGAGATGGCCAGGCAGCCATCTGGGATTCCACTGGCCACCCCCAGACGGAATGTGTCTCAGCCTTGGGGAGCACTGCCTGGGTCTGCCAGTGGCTCCAGCACGTCCCCTCTCCTGGGTGCTATTATGCAGACACTGCTGGCAGGCACCCTGAGGTTCCATCCCGCTGCCGCCAGGGTGGTGATAGCAAGCTCTTTAGGTGGTGGCCAAGACTTCACAGTGGATTACAGTCCTGGCCATGTCCTAAATCTTTCATAAGCTCTATTGCAGGCACCAGAAACCATTCAGAAGGTGGGGTAGGGGAGCGAAACACCAATGAAAGTCACACTGATCAAACCAGGCAACATCTGTTAAGGCAAGAGGAACCAGGCCATGCTCCATGGGGTCTGGGGACAGGCTTGTCGCTGGTGTGGATTCAGAAGGCAGAGTGGACACCAGCTCCTACTGTGATGTTCTCGGTTGCCTCCCTCTGCCCCTGATTCACCAGAGGCTGTTTACCTGTGGTCCACGGCCCTTGCAGTCCCTGGAAAAATTCGGAGGCTCCATGATACTGGATAGAAAAAAAAGTACATTTTTCTTTTCCCTCCCTTCCTCCCTCTCTCCCTCCCTTCCTCCCTCCCTCTCTCCCTCCTTTCTTTACTTTATTTTTATTTTTATTTTATTTTATTTTTGACAGTCTTTGCTCAGTTGCCCAGGCTGGACAGTGGCACAATCACAGCTCACCGCAGCCTCAACCTCCTGGGCTCAAGAGATCCTCCCATTTCAGCCTCCTGAATAGCTGGGACTACAGGCATGCGCCAGCATACCCAGCTAATTTGTGTTTTTTTGTTTGTTTGTTTGTTTGTTTGGTAGAGATGGAGTTTTGCTGTATTGTCCAGGCTGGTCTTGAACTTCTGGGCTCAAGCGATCCAACCTTCTTGGCCTCCCAAAGTGCTGGTATTACAGACACGGACCACTGTGCCCAGCCTCATTTTTATTTTCATAACCTCAACCCACATTTAGCATTTCCTTCAATTATGAATGTAGGCAGCAAACGGCTGTCATATCAGCAGACCCTGTGACTTCATGGCTGGCAACGGAAATCACAGATATCTTCATATCACATTAGAGTTCTTCCTGATGTCTCAAAAATATCCTATATGCTGATCACTACTTCAAAGTTACAATGATAGTCGAACTGGCATCTTGTTTCTTAGGCTGCTACTGAGGAAGCATGCATATTGTCTCACATTTTTCCTTTTTTTTTTTTTCTTTGAGATGGAGTCTCGCTCTGTCACCCAGGCTGGAGTGCAATGGCGTGATCTCGGCTCACTGCAACCTCTGCTTCCTGGGTTCAAGCAATTCTCCTGCCTCAGCCTCCCGAGTAGCTGGGACTACAGATGCGTGCCACCATGCCTGGCGAACTTTTGTGTTTGTAGTAGAGATGGGGTTTCACCATGCTGGCCAGGCTGGTCTCGAACTCCTGACCTCGTGATCCGCCCACCTCAGCCTCCCAAATGCTGGGATTACAGCTGTGAACCACCGTGCCCGGCCACATTTTTCTATTATTTGATAACTGTGCTTGCAGGATAATTGGTTTCCTTTGGAATCCTGTGCATTTTCTTGTATACAGTTAAAAGCATTACTTTGACCAGGGGTCCACAGCTGTACTAGTCTACCAAAGGGGTCCGTGGCACACAAAAAGTTAAGATTCCCTATTTTAAACCAGTAATTAGCAGCAAACTCCCCCTCTCTATGTCACATAAAAATAGAAGCTAATTTCTATAACAGCTACTCCTCCTTCATTTAGCTGCCTTGAACTCTTGGTGCTCAGAGCTTGGATCTGTGCTAATTCCATTTTTTAACATTTTCACTTGATTTTTTTTTTTTTTTTTTTTTTTTTGGGTCAGACAACAGTGCCTTGTGTTACCCATGCTGGCTTCTGCTGCCCTCTGGTGGTCACAATGAGGCCCATTCCCAAGGACAAGCTGGAAGGGCTGGTGCGGGCCTGCTGCTCCCTAGGGGGTGAGCAGGGGCAACCTGTTCACATCGGCGACCCAGGTCAGTGTCTCTCGCTCCTGCCCATGATCCTGACAGCCTCTCTTGGAGTTGGGCCTGAGGAGCAGACATGAGCTTGCCATGCTCCTGAGCTCCCACGGCTTGTCTTTCTTTTTACCAGGGGTCTCCAGGGGCAAAGCCCTGAACAAGGCTCAAAGGCTCCGGCAGCTGTCTCGGGGCTGGGCTTACAGATGCCCCTCAGGTTTAAAGGTGCCACCCTTGGCAGAATAGCCAATCTCACTGTGGTGTAAGTTTACATATATCATATCCTCTTGGGTTTTTACGGAGGCTTAATATATATAGGAAAAAAAGAAAAAATATATATATATAAAATGAATATATATTGGGTTTTGTCCACAATTCCTGGCTCATAGCTCCTAAAATTCTTGGAACTTCCAAATTGCTATATTTTGTCTGATAGGTTCAGGGTGGGGCTGGTCACCAGAAAGACTAAGGTAGGATTAGAGGGTTGGGACTTTCAGCCCCACCCCTCCCCCCAACCTCCAGGGAGGAAAGAGAGGCTGAAGGTCAAGCTGATTACCCACGGCTGATGGTTTAATCAATCATGCTCATGTAATGAAGCCTCCGTAAAACCCCAAGAGGATAGGCTTCAGCGAGCTTCTACATAGCTGAACACATGTAGGTTCCTAGAGGGTGGTGCCCAGGGAGGGCATGGAAGCTCCACGCTCCTTCCCCCACACCTCGCCCTGGGCATCTCTTTATCTGTATCCTTTGCAATATCCTTTTATTTTATTTTATTTATTGTTGAGACACACTTTCCCTCTGTCGCCCAGGCTGGAGTTCAGTGTTATAATCTCAGCTTACTGCAACCTCCGTCTCCTGGGTTCAAGTGATTCTCCTGCTTCAGCCTCCCAAGTAGCTGGGATTACAGGCGCCCACTACCACGTCTGGCTAATTTTTATACTTTTAGTAGAGATGGGGTTTCGCCATGTTGGCCAGGCTGGTCTTGAACTCCTGGCCTCAAGTGGTCTGCCCGTCTTGGCCTCCCAAAGTGCTGGGATTACAGGTATGGGCCACCGCACCCTGCCTGCAATGTCCTTTATAACAAACTGGTAAACATAAGTAAATGTTTCCTCAAGGTCTGCGAGCTGCTCCAGCAAATTAATCAAACTCAAAGAGTTTGGGTTTCATCAAACCCAAAGAGGGTTAATCAAACTGGAGGCCAGTTGGTCAAAAGTTCTGGAGGCCCAGACTTGCAACTGGTGTCTGTAGGGGGGTGGCCTTGGGGACTGAGCCCTCAACCCGTGGGTTCTGATGCTATCTCCAGGTGGAATGGAATTGGAGGGAACCCAGCTGGTACCTCCTGCTTGATGGTGGGGAGAAACCCCCACAAATTTGATCACAGGAGTTTTCTGTGTTGGTGACTGTTATTGTGGTGTGAGAGCAGAGGAAACACACCATTTAGATAGAGTTTTTTTTCTCTACACGCTCACCCACTGGGGAGATCTTTGATAAATGTAAAGCTCCTATGAACTTCCAGTGAATCTGGGGTTGGGGGAAGCCAAGGGTGGCAGCAGGGCTCTTTATCCGGAGATTTGAGCTCGAAGCAACGTCTAATCTGGGCTGCTATTCATTGGTATATTTGGGTAGGAGATGGCTTTGTTCCAAATGTTAATTTGAGCTGAAATCCATTGATCCCCAGCATATTAACTCAATTGACAGTGAGTGAATAGATCCAACATGAAGAGCCAGTATCAAGAAGCTGTGCAGGCCTCTTAGAGGGCCTGATGAGAGTTTGAGACTGGGCCTTGGATGAGGGTCCAAGTTTGGTATATCTGAACTTGCTCAGCTGCATAACCAACAACATTAGACAGAACCTACCCTTTTGTGAAAACGCAGTCAGTACTTGCTAGCTTCATCACATGAGGGTGATTGCAGAGCCGCCCACCAGGATGGTGTCTGCTGAGGAGTTTTATCATTAGTGGGGATGGATTGGGCCCAGCACATCCATCTTTGCTGTCTTCAGGATTAGGTTGCTGCTGGTAGTCAAGCAGCTGAGGTTAGGTGCATGAGATGTGACCTAGCCTGGACCAAGGTCAACCCCCCAAGGCTGGCTTTGGTAGCAGCCGGCATGCACAATGAGAGTACTAGGCTCAACGCACCCACGGATCCTTCCAGAAATCATGCCGTGAAGTTTGAGATTCTGTGTTCTGAAACCAGCACTCCACATGGACTGTAAATTATGGAGAACCCCGAGTTGTCAAAGCCTCAATCCCTATTCTCCTTCACCTCTTCCTCAAATACCATTTACAATAATCCTGCAATTTGAGTTTCTGTTTTAGAGAAAGAACCATAAACTACTCAACCAGTTCTAATTGGATGCTGCCTGCTGAGGGAATTACATTTTCCTTTTCCATCTGCAGAGCTGTTGGGAATCAAAGAGCTTTCCAAACCTGCCTACGGGGATGCCGTGGTGTGTTCCCCAGGGGAGGTTCCAGTGTTCTGGCCTTCTCCACTGACCAGTCTTGGAGCTCTCAGCAGCTGTGGTATGTTGGGGCATACTGGGGCAATCGCTCTGCCCTAGGATGGAGCCCAGTGGGGTCTAGTTCTTGAAAGCATATTCTCGCAGTACAATGATTTAAAAATAAAGCCATAAAACAAAACACAAAACAGAGGCCTATAGCTGCAGTGATTCTCTCTCTGGATTCCTTCTTTTATTTATTTATTTATTTATTTATTTATTTATTTATTTATTTATTAAGACAGAGTCTCACTCTGTTGCCAGGCTAGAGTGCTGTGGTGCAATCTCGGCTCACTGCAACCTCCAACTCCCTGGTTCAAGCGATTCTTCAGTCTCAGCCTCCTCAGTAGCTGGGATTACAGGCACGTGCCACCATGCCTAGCTAATTTTTGTATTTTTATAAGAGACAGGGTTTCACCATGTTGGCCAGGATGATCTCGATCTCCTGACCTCGTGATCCGCCCACCTTGGCCTCCCACAGTGCTGGGATTACAGGTGTGAGTCATCATGCCTGGCCTGGTTTCCTTCTTTTAATCCCAGGGCTGGAGCACTTTGTCTTACAACTCAATTTTTTTGTCGTCGTTGTTTTTTTGGTCTTGTTGAGACATAGTCTCACTCTGTCACCCAGGCTGCAGTGCAGTGGCACGATCTCGGCTCACTGCAACCTCCGTCTCCTGGGCTTAAGCGAGGGAGGCATGCATGCCTCAGCCTCCCAAGTAGCTGGAATTACAGGTGCATGCCACCACACCTGGCTAATTTTTGTATTTTTAGTAGAGACGAAGTTTTGCCATGTTGGCCACGCTGGTCTCAAACTCCTGGCCTCAAGTGATCCTCCCACCTTGGCCTCCCAAAGTGCTTGGATTACAGGCATGAACCACTGCATCCAACCTTAAATATGTTTTGATTAAATGTATTTCCTTCCTTCCTTCCTTCCTTCCTTCCTTTCCTTCCTCTTTCTTCTTTCTCTCTCTCTCCTTTTCTTTTCCTTTCTTTTCTTTCTTTCACAGGGCCTCACTGTATTGCCCAGGCTTGAGTTCAGTGGCATCATCATAGCTCACTGCAGCCTCAAACCTCTGCAGTCAAGTGATCCTCCCATCTCAGCCTCCCAGGTAGCTGAAACTACAGGCATATGCCATCATACCAAACCAATTTTTAGAATTTTTTTGTAGAGATGGGATCTTGCTACAATGTCCAGGCTGGTCTCAAAGTCCTGGGCTCAAATGATTCTCCTGCCCCGGCCTCCTGAGTCATAGGGATAACAGGCAGGAGCCGCTACTTCAGCTGTTTTAATTAAACATATATTTTTATCTGCCGAAGCATCCCAGCCCATTCTAGCAGGAAAACTAACCTTTAGCTTGGCTTTTTGAGACATTTTGGAGATTGATGGGGCCTTGAAAACAAAGGTCAAGCCAAGAAATGTAACTAAACAAGTAATTTCCCATGGTATTTGCAAGGTGATTATAAACAAGGCCTGCAGCAGTACATTTTTTCCAAAGCCTAGGTGATATTACAATGAAGAGACACACGAGGGCGCCCTCCCTAGCTCACAGTACGATAGGAAGGGGACAGAAACATGAAAAATAACAGCCATTGCAGACCATGGTCATGGACACTGGAAAATTCTGGCCAGGCCAGCCACACTTGCACTGTAAGCATAGAATCTAGTGTTATTTTAATTTATTTTGAAAGCATTCATGAGAGTTCAGCTATCAGAATGGCCTCATGCAAGGGAAAGATCATCCCTAATGTGGTGAAGAGGCATGGCTGCCAAGATCTACAGGATTCCATTCGTTCGTTTATTTAAGTACATGTGTTGAGAACGTGCTGTGTGCCAGGCGTGCACCCAGGCCTCGGGACTACAGTGCTCCATGGGACAGGATGGAGTCCTCTGGGCGCTCATGGTCTTTTCTGAGTGTGTGTGTGTGGGCAGTGTGTAGACACATACACTCACGTTTAGTAAACGTCCGCCAGCCCACTGGCCTCACCACTTTCCCACCATCAGCCTTGGCAGATGCCCTGCAGAGGAGATCTCACTGCCATGGGCACCCCAGCATGTTCCAGCCCTTTAATTCTGACAGCAATAGCACAGTTGATCATAGATGAGAACAAATGACATCAGACAAGGACAACCTTGAAAACCTTGAATCATTCTCAAACTTCCTTTTTTTTTTTTGAGACAAGGTCTCACTCTGTCACCCAGGCTGAATGCAGTGGCACGATCACAGCGCACTGTAGCCTTGACCTCCTAGACTCAAGCGATCCTCCCACCTTAGCCTCTGGAGTAGCTGGGACTATAGGCATCAGGCATGCACCATAGAGATGGGGTCTCACTGTGTTGCCCAGGCTGGTCTTGAACTCCTGGTCTCAAGCGATCCTCCCACCTCAGCCTCCCAAAGTGCTGGGATTATAGTCATGAGCCACCATGCCTACCTTGAACTTCAATATTTAAACTTCGATTAGCAATATATTATTTGCTGCAGACCTCACAACTGATGGGGACAAAACTGTGTCATGCTCTGAGCTGACTGTTCTGACGTGTAGCTGGCTTTGGAGTGACCAGTTCTAGGTGCCGTTCAAAACACAGACAAGCGATGATTACATTCTTCAGATTCATGACTTCTTTCCCTTACACGTCAAATCGAAAAGTTATGTATCTATCAGATTTTTATTTTGAAGTGCTGGCTGACTCTGGCTTTCTATTAAATATGAAACTTTAAGCCAGGCATGGTGGCTCATGCCTATAATCCCAGCACTTTGGGAGGCTGAGGTGATTGGATCACTTGAGGTCAGGAGTTCAAGACCAGCTTGGCCAACATGGTGAAACCCTGTCTCTACTAAAAATATAAAAATTAGCCAGACATGGTGGCACACACCTATAATCCCAGCTACTTGGGAGGCTGACACAAGAGAATTGCTGGAACCCTGGAGGCAGAGGTTTGCAGTGAGCTGAGATCGCGCCACTGCACTCCAGCCTGGGTGACAGAGCGAGACTCTGTCTCAAAAAAAAAGAAAAGAAAAGAAAAGAAACTTTATTGTTCCTGTGAAATCCAGTATTTACTCAATTCACATGTGCATTTGTTGAACACCTATTATGTGCAAGGCACTCTGGGATCCTGAGATGCATGAGCAATGGTCACTCTTCTCCAGGAGCATACAGCTGAGTGGCGATGAGTACTCAAAGATGATAATGACACTGAGGAAGGCAGAAGAGGTAAATAGTATGGTATTAAGCACTTAATGAGCCAGGCACAAGAAACTAAGAATGAGTAAGATACTGTGTGATTCAGGCCAGGCTCCATGGCTTATGCCTGTAATCCCAGCACTATGGTAGGCTGAGGCAGGAGGCTTGCTTGAGCCCAGGAGTTTGAGGCTGCAGTGAGCTTTGTTGCACCACTGTACTCCAGCCTGGGCAACAGAGAAAAAGCCTTGTCTCTTTAAAAAATTTATATATGAGGCTGGGCGCAGTGGCTCACGCCTGTAATTCCAGCATTCTGGGAGGCTGAGACAGGAGGATCACCTGAGGTCAGGAGTTCAAGACCAGCCTACCCAACATGGCAAAACCCTGTCTCTACTAAAAATACAAAAATTAGCCAGGCATAGTGGCACACGCCTATAATCCCAGCTACTCAGGAGGCTGAGACAGGAGAATTGCTTGTACCCGGGAGGCAGAGGTTGCAGTGAGCCGAGATCGCGCCACTACACTCCAACCTGGGTGGCAGAGCAAGGTTCTGTCTCAAAAAAAAAAAAAAAGTGTGTGTGTGTGTGTGTGTGTATGTATATATATATGGCGGATACATATATATACACACAGTGGATACATATATATGGATATATATATATATATGGTGTTTGTTCAATTATGCAAACCATCATTTATTGAGGGCTTACTCTGAAATAAGCACTTGGCTGAATACTTTTTAAAAACTTATTTTTTTTTACTTTTTTAAACCACATGAGTGTGCTAAACACTTTTTTTTTTTTGAGATGTGGTATTGCTCTGTGGCCCAGACTGGCGTGCAGTAATGCAATCTCGACTCATTGCAGCCTCTGCCTCCCAGGTTCAAGCAATTCTCCCACCTCAGCCTCCCAAGTAGCTGAGATTACAGGTGCACCACCACGCTGGGCTAATTTTTGTATTTTTGGTAGAGGCAGGGTTTCATCATGTTGCCCAGGTTGGTCTTGAACTCCTGACCTGAGGTGATCCACCCTCCTTGGCCTCCCAAAGTGTTGGGATTACAGCCATGAGCCACCGTGCCTGGCCTGCTAAACACTTTTACGTACATTTTCCAGTTTCTTTCTGACAACAGCCATATGAGGCATTATCATTGCTTTACAGTCAAAGAAACAGGTTTAAAGAATAAAGTCGGGCCAGTCGTGGTGGCTCATGCCTGTAATCCCAGCATTTTGGGAGGCCAAGGTGGGCGGATCACCTGAGGTCAGGAGTTTGAGACCAGCCTGGATAACATGGTGAAACCCCGTCTCTACTAAAAATACAAAAACTAGCCGGGCGTGGTGGCAGGTGCCTGTAATCCCAGCTACTCAGGAGGCTGAGGTGGGATAATCGCTTGAACCCGGGAGGTGGAGGTTGCAGTGAGCCGAGATTGTACCACTGCACTCCAGCCTGGGTGACACAGCAAGACTCTGTCTCAAAAAAAAAAAAAAAAAAAAAGAATAAAGTCAATAAAGTCACATCCCAAATTCAAGTATATTCACAATGCTAAAACCACTTCTTAATAACTATGCTATAGTGTTTCACATTGCCTGAAATCTAACAAGGAAGAGTCTTTAAAGAATAAAATTAACATAAACGAAAACAAAATGTAACTGCCATAAGGAAAAATAGAAACGATGCTCACAGAGGGTTCCAAATCTAACGTTTGCTGGAAAGCAAAGCAAGATGGCGTCATGAGTTTTAAGAATCCAGTAAATACTTCCTGACCTCCATGGGTTAAATTGATGGAATTGCCTAGAGCTCTAGCTACAGCTGTGGCTGTATCGCACTTCTTTTCAACCCATACTCAACTCATCTTTACTTTCCTAGAGATTAGAGGCAGCTGTGTAAATGGAGCTCGATGTAGCCATCAACCAGCTCATTCTGACCTTGGTGCCAACAGGTGGTATAGGGAGTGCTTAGGCTGAGCTGATGACCAGGCGCCACCTTGCCTATCAGCAGTGGGCTAGATGAGGGTAGGCTGGACTCGATGAAGTGGCTGGGCTCAGATCCTCCTGTTGTGTGTTTTAGAGACCCCACTGGCTTTTGCCAGCATCCCAGGCTGCACAGTTATGACTGACCTGAAGGATACAAAGGCTGCAGCTGGTTGTCTCACCCCAGAGAGAATTCCAGAGGTCCATCACATTTCCCAAGATCCTCTGCACTACAGCATCGCGTCAGTGTCCGCTTCTCAGAAGATCAGAGAACTAGAGTCTGTGATCGGCATAGACCCAGGTAAGAAACAACGCATTTGCACCTGGAGAAACTGACCACTGACATAATTTTCAGTGAAAAAGGCAGGATGCAAAATGTCTCCACAGCATGATTTTTTAAATGTTGATACTGCATATAAATCTCAAAAGGACTAAAATTAAATACACCAAAATACTGACATTGATGGTCTCTAGGTAGTGCTATTATGAGTGTTTTTTTTTTTTTTTTTGAGACTGAGTCTCACTCTATTGCCCAGGCTGGAGTGCAATAGCGTGATCTCGGTTCACTGCAACCTCTGCCTCCCGGGTTCAAGTGATTCTCCTGTCTCAGTCTCCTGAGTAGCTGGGA